GAGCCAGCCGTCCTCGCTGCCCAGCTCCCTCGCCTCCCGTCTTGCTTATTTTCACTTATTTCCCTTTTATTTTCACACTGGCAGCTCTGGCTGCGGCCCCGTGTGAAAGTACCAAGCGGGGCACCCGCTGCCCACCTCCAGAGCAGCGCCTGTAAGGCAGAATGAAATACTAGGCTGCCCGGCTTGTCGTGCGTCTCCCTGCCGTGCTGTATGATTCCCCTCATTGTTGTAATAATGATTTTTTTTTTTTTTAATTTTCTGGCACAAGTAATAACTGTCGGTGTTAACTTCTCTGAGTTCTTGCCCCAGGTGTGAATCGCCACTTCCACATGATCTGTATCCGAGATAAATTCAGTCAGAATATTGGACGGCAGATTTCCTCTAAAGTGATTTGGGACCATCTGAGCACCATGTATGATATGCAAGCTCTTGTGAGTATAAAGTGATGCAGGAGTGCTCTTATTTCCTGTAGTTCAGGAGTTTTGATAGGACAAAATCACTCGGCCTCTCGTGGTACCAAGAACTAGGTATCATGTGGTAAGTTGATGAGGATTTCCCTGTATGAAGGTACATTAGGTGGGAGATAAGGGAACCTGCAGTGTTTTTGTTTTTTCCACACTCAGTGCTGACTTTGTGTGATTTTTGGTTGCCTGAATGCTGATTCTGCAAACATTTACGTAGATACTTAACTCTAAGTGCCAAATAGGGAGGATATAGCGTGCATAAGTAAGAATTTGCCAAGATCAGGTCCCAGGAGTACCTCGTCATGATTGCATATGTCTTGATGTTATTATCTGGTTTGACGTACGGAGCCTCCTGATTCTCCAGGGTCTGAAGTATTTTGTTAAGAATTATTTAGCTACTAATTGCATATAAAGTAGAATTTGGAATTGCATTTCTAAATCCAAACTAAATGTTTTATCAAGATCACTCATAGAAAGCTTTGTTTTCTTCCTAAGCACGAATCTGAGATTCTCCCGTTCCCCAACATAGAGAAGAATTTTGTTCTTCCTGATGAAATGATTCAAGAAGTGAGAGAAGGTAAGAAGTCATAGCAACCTTTTATTCCTGGCTGACCTTAATCTCAGTTCAGAACAAGTAGCTTAACAGAACTCCAAAAAAAGAAAATAATAACATGGCAATCCAAGGCTGTTCTTGGCCGTTCACCAATGGTGGTGTGTTGGAGGCATCAAGGAAAAGAAGTGTTAAATAGATACGACTTTATCTCATGAATTTTTAATTTGCTGACAGGGAAAGGATCACACTGCTTGTGCTGTTCATATTGTCAGTATCAGCCTCTGTGACTGCACAGTCAGAGACCTGCTAGTGGGCTATGCAAGCCTTTGGTCTTATTCCACACAGTATTTCTCATATTATTAAGTTTAGTATGGATTGGACGTTACTAATGGACAAACAGGTTCCATTTTTACCATTTAGATGCAAATTCTCGTTTTAGGTATACGTGAAAGATCCGCATGCTTCACTGATGCCTGTATGCAGAATGACAGGCAAAGTGCGGTTGTAGTGTAAAATGAATAGTAGGTTATTGTGGGTGTTTTTTCACTTTGTTGCGACTACTCTAGTATCATGTCTGACCGTAATTTTTGCTGAAATAGGTGATCTGCAGACTTTTATATGGTTCACATTGTAAGATCTTTCAGGAGCAGGATCTATGGAACTGATGAAAATAAGATTTCTGAATATAATTTGTATAAATTTCCTGTATACAATTAGTATATAATAACATTTCTGTGATAACAATTTTCTGTACATGTAATGAAATAAGGCAGTTAAGTAGCAATTCAGCTAATGTTTAAAAGTATGCTCCAGGAATATTCTCTTACTGAACATCTGCATGTACAATAGCTAGAAAAACTTGCTGCTTGGCCATGGACTTTACCAAGTACTTCTTGTGCTTGTGTAATCATTGCATTGTTAGTGTTAGGGTATTGGCTTTTTTTTTAAATATGGTTCATATAGCTTCCTTTTAAGAGCATTACTATTTTTTTATGTCTGAAAACAGAGATTTTGATTGAAAACAAAAACAATATTAAATGTTCAGAGATTTAGTGTGGTTTCATTGCACTGTAAAATCACTTCTTCATGTTTTTATATTCTTAGGATTCAGCTACGTGATACTTCCAAAGCTCACTCCCTCCAGATGGGTGTGTCTGTGTTGTCTAATCCAGTAGAACTCTCCACCAGCTTGACAGAAATCTTAGATTAAATAGTGCAAGTCAGATTGTCAAAGCTTAGCTGTATGTCTGTTATTTAGTACTTGTTATCCAAGGTAGGAGCTAGGAAGCTCAAGCATCTGCACCTTTAATCAGGCAGTTATAGGGGCATGTCGAACCACAGTCGAATGCTTCTCAGTCATTAGGTGCAATAAACTTTACACTAATAGTTCAATACAAAATCATAATAAATCTGAGGTACAGCAATATGTTTTGCCTACTTAGCATTTCCTAACTGTTCCTGTTAATAATTCCATTGGAATTCTTCGCTGTGTGGTGTCTGCCATGGTATCTTGTTCAGTTCACTTTCCTTATGTGATGCTCTGAGTATAGCTGGATTGTTATCTACATTTTTCTATCATAATACTGAGGAACCTTTTTAAATTTAATATTGAAAGGCGCACTGAGTGTTTGTGAACATTGTACACATAGATTGAGGTGACTAACCTGGAAAATATATATATGGTTCTTTAAAACCACCCAACAGTTGCTTAACAATGCTTTCTGTAGGAAAAGTAATGATTGAAGAAGAAGTGAAAGAAGACATAAAAGAAGAGATGGAGACTCACGCAGGCCCAGAAGAAGGTAAATCTGTAACTCTCCTGTGTAAAGTGAGATTGAAAAAGCAACTGTAATTCTGAGAGATGATGTTAAATTGTAAATCCTGCTTTCGGTGTATTTTGATGTTGTGATTTTGTACAGACTGAGCATATGCTCATTGCCAATAACAAATAATTTTAAAATGCATAGAGTAAGCAATTGCCAATATCTGATGCTTCAAAAGATTTCTCCTTTTCTCCTAATTCATCTGTGCAAAGCTGTATAGCTTTGTGGGTTTTTTCCCCTCTAAGTATGTCGTTGACAGAAATCCTAGCTACAAAGGAGAAAAAAAAGGTTACAAGAATATATGCTTAAATGGGAAGGAAGGAGTATCTTTTTTGATTTACTCTCATTATCTTGCTTCTTTGAAATACGAGTTTTATTTTTGTAACACTTTTCTGTAGAACAAAATCAAATGTAAGCAGTAGAGATCCTGCTATTTAACTTAATAGATCAAGCCAACAAAATTAACTAGATAATTGCATAATCCTTATATCATAGAATAAGTGGCGTTTGTTTTTAAGGCTGAGTGTAATAAATGACCTAAAAATGTATTTTAAAAAGATACTGAAACTCATATTTTGGGTACTCGGTTTTAAAGTCTAATGGAGTGACCTTTGCCGTCTGTGAATTTCATAGGTTGCTCATACATTCTGTGAATGTTCCTATTGAGTATTTTGATTTTAAGTGCTGTTTAATTCCACTTAATGCCTATCAAAATTCATACCTGGCTTTAAAACAAACAATAAAAGCAAGGAATGCCCTTTTACAGAACATGTTTCCCATAAAAATTAAAATAACACTGCAAAGATCTTAAAGATAGTACGAGAATTGATTGGTTAGAAAAGTTTCACGTAATATAAAGAAACGTGATATAATTTCTTTTTTGCCTATATGTATACGTCTGATCTGGAATCGCTATTCTGGTCCTATTTCAGTATTTGCACCTTCTGGAAATTTAGGAAAAACAAGCGAAAAGCCAAGCAGCAAAGAGAAAGAGAAGACTTCATCAGACTCTGGGTCCAAAGAAGGACCTGATAAGAGGAAGCGCAACAGAGTCACTGAAAAGGTCTTAAACGCAAACAGTAATCCTTCCAGTCCAAGTGCTGCAAAACGACGCAGAACGTAAAGAAAGCTGTGAAAGAGAGAAGTATTTAACTATGGCACGTGAAGAGGCAACGTTCAAAAACAAATAGAAGGAAAGTCATTACATGGACTTTGTAAGAAAAGAAAAGGTATCTGAGCCAGGTGTATTTGAAGAATCTGCACATTGGCTTTACACATGCAACGGTTTGCCTGTCTTTCCTGATTTGTTTATTAGTCAGCACTGAGTAGCTGAGTGATAGCTACTTTCTCAGGGCATTGAGGGAGGACGCTGGCAGCTTTAAAAGTTTATGCGTACTTAACAATTCCAGTGGTTGTGTTTCAAACCACTAACACACTGTCAGCATAACTTACGAAACGAGTGCTCAATGAAACAAGGAGCCTTAATTCATTAAAAGCTTAAGTTATTTCTATACATTTTGGATCTTTTTCTTGCCTTTGCTTTGTTGCTTTCTTTGAATATTACAGACCCTCTACGGGTAATGTTGTTTGGCTGTTTTACTTATTGCAGACATAGCATTTGTATCAAATGTCTGGCTTTGTTGGTTCAGTAAAACTAAAAGTATTGTAAATCCAGATCACTAGTGAGTTGAAGTATTCTTTCATACTATTATATTTACTGGAGGAAAAAGGAAACCTCTGCTACCTGGATCCTTCGTGGTGTAACTTTTTTTCTCTAGTCTTTATAAATACGTATACTTTAAGGGAAGTGAAAATGACAGTGTCCCTAGGCAGAGTAATTAATCAGTGTCCTCAATAAAATATCCAGTGGTGTCGCATGGTATTGATAGGGATCAGCTGTGTTGTGCATAAACCTGGAGATGTTGGTTCATCCGTATGTACTACAGTAGTGTACATAACAATGAGTTTTATACTTTGTTATTTAACTTTTGAAAAGCAATTTTATTAGATGTTAAGTACTGCAAAATGTTGATCCTGTTCTACATCTTAAATATTCTGAAGTAGTTTTAGTAAAAAATTTACTAGCGTATTGTAATGCTTATCTTTTATATGCTACAGTATTGAAGTGTGGTAGAAGTTATTATTTTTGAGTTGCCAAAAGCTGGTTGGCTCTTAACAAACACAGGTTAAATGGTGAATGAAGCTGGATGAGATGTTACTCAGTGTGTTTCCCCATGTGAACTATAATTTAATAAATTAGAAGAATTCTTAACCTAGCAGTATTGCCTTCAAGGTTAGAAGCTAGAGACCTACTAGCTTTTGTTTTTACTCTAAGCACATAGCCAAGTTCTTGTCTCTTTTATTCACTTTGCTTATTTTATGCTAAGAATAAATCTGACGTTCGTTTTATTAAATGGTAGTTGTTGCATAACTTAATATTTGGCCCATAGGTTATTTTTTAATAGTATTTAGGTATCTTAGGCACTTTTGAACAGTTTCACTAAAGGCACATCTGCTCTGTAGGAACCTAAATATTTTTGGTAATCTGTTTTTCAGTGAGTATATCTGGATCTTATGAACTAGTATCCTGTAATTATGTATTTGATAAGAAATCCTGGCCCGCTAAAGTCTGTAGAGGGGGTTGCTGTTGGTTTCCAAAATACAGGATTTTCTCTGTTCTAATTAGCATAACACAGTTGTGAAGTATTGAGTTCAGAGGATTAATTTTTTTGATATTTTGATCATCTGTTTACCATCTCATTTACACTAGTCAGCTCTAGAAAGTTAGAACGTTGTCAGGATGGCCACTGCAGCTGCTTCCACCTGTGCTTTTACAGCCTGTCGCAAGCTCACTGTGCCTAGGGTCTGAGGTGGTTGGACGTGAACACATTTCAAACTAGAAGCCATAAAATCCCATTAATTTAGTGCTGTGCTTCAGATAATAAGTATGTCACTGGCCCTTTTGCAGGGCTTATCAGCTGGAGAGCTCCACAGAGCTCCAGTTTTTGGGAGAGATGCTACAGGTGACTCAGAAATTTTCCAGGTGGATAGAAATCAAACTATTTTATAACCTTGTATGAAGAAGTTTCTGCTTTTAATTTTGAAGTTAAAAAAAAAAACTTCAAATTAGTATATTAGTTGGTACTATGGCTACTTGACGTTATGATATACTTCACTTAACAGAGCTGTTCCTAAGTGAGTTCTGACAGGTGAGTGCCTTTGTTAACTGTTGCTGTTTTCTTAACAATTAAAATGCTGATTACTTTGTAATGATTTGTATAGGTCTTAACCATAAATTGCAGATTTCTTTAACTGTAAGGTCTCCCGGCCATGTGGGTAAATCCTTTTCATCTAAGGGATTCTATTCTAAATTACTTGCTATACCAATGCAATTTTAATAGGTTTTTATAGGTTATCGAGTGTATGATTGACATGTGGTGTAGTTCAATCAGTACAATCCCTGAAACGGGGAGTCCACTTGGGACTTTTTACTCTGCCCAGCAAAATAGATTTTTAGCAATTCATCGGTTGTGGAGTCAGATATTTGAAAAATGTAAATCCTGTACGTGACCAGAGTGCTGCAGGTCTCTTTTCCTGCCTTCCCTTTCACCAAGTCCTGGCTTCTTTGGAAGATTGTTCTTCAGTTTTTCTCTAAACAGAATATCATGCACTGGAAGGAATTAGTACAGGGGCCCCCTGTTGATGCAGCCCCCGGCTCCGTAGGAGGGTTATGATTTTGCCAGCGAGGCTACACACAAAGCCTTTGCTGAATTCTTGGCTCCGGAGGCAAGAGGAAGCTCCCACGGCTCCAGCATCCCGCCTTGTTTCCAACAGCAACCCGTGGGGCGCGTAACCTCGGGACCTACCGTTCCCGCCCAGCGCCAGGAACTGACAGGCAAGAGCAAAACGGTGCCTTGTCTTTTATTTGCATTGGCTTTTTTATTCCCTATATTTTTTATTTTTATTCCCTGCCCATTTTTGATTTTTATCGTTCAGCATTATTTCCCCCACCCGACCCCACCCGTCCGCCTGGGGCGTGCTGGCTGAGCACGCGGCTCCCCCAGCAGCGCTGGT